GGCAATGTGGTTAAAATCCAGTCAATGAGTCTATATAAATTCTTTGATTATTGGAACTGTCCTATGATTGGTAGGCCCTTATGTGGATAATGACAGCTTTTTATGACTCAAGAAGTCAATAGAAAATATTACATATCATTACGTGCAATTATAATCTAAGTATTAAGAAAGTATAGGGTAGGTTATATGTACATGAAAGACAATCTTAAAGGAGTAAACAATCTAATCATTCTATCTGTAGCCCTCTTCACTATGGAATTTTTCATTTATCTGGTTGTGTTAGCTACAGACAAATAAAGATATACTAAAAGGGCAAGGCAATAAAGCATAAATTTGGTGACCACATAATTTATTACTTATCCTATCACATTTTGAAGAAAGAGTGGGACTCTATTAGTAATTACAATGGGAATAAACCAGTTGTCTTGGGCAAAACTCATTGCCCTACAAACAAGTATAATTCTTCTGTGAATGGGTGATGGGTGATACAAATAATAAAAGTCTTGAAACTATTACTTTGGAGACCGAGCATATGGTTGACTGGTTAAAAAATGAGCAGGACTTTTCATGCATGGGTGCTATCATGAGCAAAAACATTGAGGGAAAGAATATTCTGGAAAATAGAGAATATTTCAAGAAGAATTAAGTGATAGGCAATGAAAGAGCCCACAGTGATTTTTGTTTTGTTTTTTAGTTTTTGCTGAAGGGCACATGTGCTCGCTGGAGAGACTGAGTATGGTCAGATAGTGTTACCTTTGTGACAACTCATTTAACATCTCTAAATACCTTGTTTCTCATTCACAAGATGAGAGAATTTGACTAAATTATGTCATAGCTATGTTTTAATTTTGTAATAGGAGAATCGCCAGTAAATTCTTAATCATTTCTAAGTAAAGATTTCCTAAATGAGTAGTTGCCAGTGGTGATCACCACAGTTTTACAGGTGATGGCTTGAACATAGTAATTGGTTGATTAAATACTTAGTGAAAGAAAGGGAAAACTCCATGTAACTATGTTTGTAGCCCTTTTTTTTTTTTTTTTTTTTAATTTGCCAGAGGAAGTGTGTGCTAACCAGAGAGAGATAGGGAAAGTGGTAAAGCATTTGTCACAGGGAATGGTCATGCCGCTATCTTCTTCCCTCAGTTTCATTTTTCCATCCTTTTAGGATTTTAGACACTCAAATATGCCTGGTATGTTTTTCAAGCCACTGAGACTTGAATTGCACAGTTGGCCATGTGAGATTCAGCTGCCGTATCCATCACACCACTGGCTAGCCATACCTAACATTTTTTTTGGAGAGGTTTTTGCTATAGGGTGCGTGCGCTCACCAGACAGACAAAGAGAGACATAGAGACAGAAAGCAAGAAATCACCCCCCAGGGGGAATGGTCATGCCGCAATCCCTTCTCCTCCATTCTCCTCTCGGGATCTTGGGCACGCACGCACACGCGCCCGGAGTGAGATTTAAGTCACCATGTCTGGGACGTGAACCGCGGTCAACTACGTGGGAGTCCAGCGACATAGCCATTATGCTAACTGCTGGTTCCTGCCATGCCTAACATTTAAACAAACTTTCTGAAATCATAGGCTGATTAAATGATGCTTTCATTTGTAAAAATCTTTCCTTAATTGAAAAGTTAAGAAAGCATTTAAAAATCCACCTTAATATATGCCATTTAACACATATTTGTAAGTATAAATTATATACGTTATTATAGAGAAAAATATTTATACTTTCATGTTCTTTTTCTTTTTTTTTTTTTTTTAGAAGCTTTGGCTATAGGGCACGTGTGCTCACCAGAAAGACACAGAGAGATAGAAAGTAAGAAATCACCCCCCAGGGGGTATGGCCACACCACAATCCCTTCTCCTCCATTCTCCTCTCCGGATCTTGGGCACACATGCACATGCGCCTGGTATGAGTTTAAGCCACTGCGGTCGACTACATGGGAGTTCAGCAACATAGCCATTAAACTAACTGCTGGTCCCCATTCATGTTATTTCTAATGCTATGATACATAGTAATGTATGATAAGATATAATAGAGCCAGGTGATTTCAGCAAATAAATAACACATGCACTATAACAAAATAGCACAACTTTGACATTATCATGCTACAAAAAAGATTTATTTAAGGTCATGATCAAAAGAAACCTTAAATAATGGGAGGGTATGTGAATATTTCTCCACAGAGCTCAGCCTATATTTTCCTGTCAAACTACTAATTTTTTTCCCCTTTTTATTTTTTATTTTTTTTATTTATTTATTTTTTTTTTTGCTTAAGGTCTTTCCATAGGGTGTGTGCGCTCACTGGAGAGAGACAGAGAGAGACAGTGACAGGGAAAGTGAGAAATCACTCCAAAGGGGTATAGCCATGCCACAGTCCCTTCTTTTCCATTCTCCTCTTGGGATTTTTGGCATGCATGCACACATGCCCAGCATGATTTTCAAGTCATCAGGTCTGGGACTCGAACTATGGTTGATCATGTACGAGTCTAGGACCATACCTGCTGGCCCTAACAATCTATTATTTTTTTAAGAAAGGATGAAAATGTGTAGAAAAATGTGGAAAGAGTATTGAGAAGTTAAAGGAAAAAATTAGAAACTTTTTCTAAACAGAATTTTGTTAACTCAAACTAGGGAAATTGTGTTAATTCATCTAAAATCGAAGCCTAGCATGTCTTTTTATCCCCCACCCCCGACTGCTACATGGAGTACAGAATTTTGACTCAAGAGAGTGTTTTGTTTAGTAAAAAAAAATGCCTCAATGTGTCTGGCAATAAAGCTACTATTAAATGAGTATTCATTATTTAGAGTTGTTATTATAGTAAAAAGACTACCATAAGATTAAAATGCATTGACATTCGCATTAGTATATCCATGTGCATCACAGAATCACATTTTTCAAAAGATGCTAGCTATGATTACTCATTGGTAATATATCCTTGCCTTGTTAAAATCAAAAGCATCTGTCTTTCAAAAATGTACTAGTTGACAATCAACTATGTGTCTGTCAAGTATGACTGTATGACTATACTCAACAGTGACACTAGATTGGGCTAAAATAATCTCTAGGTTTTCAAATTTTGCATTTTTAGCAATTAGCAACAATGGACATACACACATAGTTTACAAAATTAAAAACTCATCTTGATGAATAATTAACATGAGTTAGCTTTTCAAACAAAACAGTTCTTCAAGATGAGAAAAATAATCCCTGGGATGTATAAAATAAGCACTCAGAAATATGAGATAACTTCTTAAATTAGAAAAAGCCTTAAGCACCAAAGAAAGAAGTATATGAGAATCTAAACCTTTTTGTTCTTGTCCTGAGCACTTGGATATGTTTTTCTCCCCCTTTATTTTTCTTTTTCACTGTCTTGCTATAGCAGAAGCAGCATATTATGAGTTCATTTAGCTTTATGTTTGTTTAAATGTGTTTCTATAATGGCATTTTATCTTTTGAGACCATAGAATCATTTGGAGGAGAAATTACCTCATTCTTTATAATGGAGTTTTGTGAAAATATGACTTTTCTAATTTTTTATTCTATCACACACATTTCTTATTATAGAATATATGGTCTGGCTTCTGACACTGTCCTTACGCATTGCTAGCAGGTCATTGGTAACTTAGATCAGCGAATATAATACCCTCATAACTTCTAACTGGTGTTCTAAAGTATACCATGTTCTCGATTCATGAGGAAAAACATGTGATCTGTAAAATAGTTCCCTCCTCTCACTTGAAGAGGGAATAAGGTCAATTTACATATGATACTACTTGACTGTCGGATGGATTCTGTAATCCTGTACTCAGGTACATGATTGACATGCTGTGCACTTTTAATTAAACTTTATTTTCATTTAGAAAATAGGAACAATGATGGTTGTAAAAACAGGGCTATTTACAACCTATTGAGGTCATGATTTACGGCTTGTCTTGTCTGTCTAGTTCCTTGCAATTATAACCAGACCTCATGTATATTACCTCATCTGTGGGGAGGTTCAGACCAATGTCTTATGTATATCTATAACAAAATAGTCAGGAGCCAAGTATGACTCTGAGTTCTCCTTGATACTTTTAAATTTTGCATCATGCTAAAATGCATTCATCTGGAGCAATCCAAGCTGATAACCTTCCTTCTCTCACTTCCTTTCCTCCTCTTCCCTTCTGCCTGCCTGTACTAGCTTGTACTAAATTTCTCTCAGTCACTCACTTTTTTACTCTTCCTACAAAGCCCCTCACAGTTTTCACCTTTGTGAGATGGCATAATGGTTATGTTGCTGGACTCCTACGTAGTCAACCACAGTTCAAGTCTCAGACCTGGTGGCTTGAAACGTGTGTGTGTGCATGCCCAAAATCCCAAGACGAGAATGGAGGAGAAAGGACTGTGGCATGGTCATTTTCCCAGGAGAATGATTTCTCACTTTCTGTCTCTTTGACTCTCTCTGTCTCCCCAACACGCACCCTATAGCAGAAATTTCTCTTAAAAAAAAAAAAATCACAGACTCTTTTGTGGCCTTGAAATGGAGTCAATTTGATTGATAAATTTTGGTTAAGGGAACTGATTACTAAGATAAAGGTTGTGTCTTTGGTTCCTAGCATTAATCCCTACCAATATAGAATGTAGCTATGTCATGTGTACATAGAGATGGCCAAACCAAGTTTGGGGATTTTTCCCCAAGTACATGTCTTATTAGAAAGTGAATTATGAGAACGTTGAGAAATAGTTTTGCTGATTCTTTACCGAGAATTGGACATTTCTGGAAAAAAATTACTAAAGATATAAAGATACAAATGTATCAGTTCAAACCAGTTTAAGAGAGTAAACTTTGTTCTAGTATTTTTCTTCTTCATTCTGATTTTGAGCATATTTACTTTTTCTTCTTAGAGCTATTCATATTGTAGAAATCTAGCAAATCATTTTATTTTTTACTTTAAAGTTTTCTATGAATACATTCAAAATATAATTCTCTTTTTTCTCTCTCTTCATAATCTCCTCCCTCCCCATACACAATACAGAATAGTCACTGGGCCTGGCTGAGGTGTATATGTGGTAGATTTACGCTGCCTTCTCTTCCTCTACTGTCAGTGTACAAACGCAGCCTGTGGTAAACACCAGGAGGCACAAAATAAAATTCTAAATGATCATGCCATTTCTGTTTCGTCAGTCTTAAGCTTATAATATCAATAACAGTGTTCACAAAGTCTAGTGCCTGTCCATGATCTTTTTTGTGTGTTCCTCTAAGCCCTAGCATCAAGTAGTTGCACATAGTTCCTTAACTAATTTTGTCAATTTGTAGGTTTTTTTCCTATATTCAATCATTTAGTTAGCTACTTAATTATATTGGGTGGGTAGAGCCTCATCATCTCAGAGTTATAAATTGCAAAGGTGAAACAAGATGATTTTTGACTCACATTGATTAAAAAATTTTGAGGTAGATAAAATTTTTTAAATCACCTGGTAAGTAATTTACTCA